AATGTTCTGGTGCTTCACGGTGGCTGGCTCGTGGGCGGGCCGCGTTTGGCGGACGAGATCCTTGCCAGGCTCCACGCCCAGGAGCCTTCTGGGCCCGCACTGCTGGGCGTCCTGCGATCCCACGAGGCGCTCACCGTGGAGGGGTGTGCTTGGAAACCATCACTCACGGAGCAGTTGGGCTGGTAAGCTCCCGCTGCCGCTGCCATTGCCGAACGGCTTCAGGCGGCTCTCGTTGCGCAGCTTGATGCTGCTTCCCGGCCCTCCTGTTTTCCCAGACCGGGCCTTTCAGCAGCCACCCTTTCACCAGTGTGCCGTCCTGCCCCGAGCTCACGTTCTCTTCTGCCGACTTGCGTGCCCTGTTGTTGCGGCGTTTGCGCCTCCCTTTGCCTTTGTCCGAGTAGCTGTTGACGCGACGCTTGTGAGCCCGGTGGGGCGCGATGGGACCAACCAACCCTGCGCCGACGCCGAGCCCGGCCTCGCCCTGTGGGAGGAGTGCCGCAGCACCTACCCGCAAATCCCGGGCGCGGCGCGGTCCTGCCTCGGTGCTAGGGCGGCTCAGCTCGCTTCAGCGGCGGGCGACGTCATGTCGACGCCCGCTCGGCGCCGGACGCGTCAGGGCCGTTGTGCTCTGCCTTGCTGCAGATGCTGGCGCGAGCCGCTTGCCCCTGCGCGGCTGAATCGCTTGCGCGCGGCGCTTGTGCCGCCGTTTCGCGCTTTCGTTCAGGTTTCGCCCGAAGGTTGGCTGAAAGAGGAGAAACAAACACCCGCCAACACGTGCGCTAGCATCGCAGTTGTGACTTGTTGTATCCCTGCAGCATGCATGTGAATGAGATTTTACAGAGCCGCCATTGATACAGCTTTTCAACCTGCCGTCCCTCGCCGCCTCGCCATCCACAATGGACATCGCCAAAATGGTCGAGGAGAACAGGGACAACCCAGAATTCCTGCGGAACCTGATGCGCATGATTACGCATAACGAACCAGAACCGGCATCGCAGGCATCGGCGCCAGAAGGCACGCATGGAGCTTTTGTCGGAGCTAGCTCCGAGTTTTCTGCGGCACATAAACAGATCCAAGGAGCGTGGCTTATAGCTCTTCCACTTCCAAGACGTGCTTTACCATTACAGAGTGTGCCACTTCGGGGCACGATTCTCAGTGTACTGGTGGCAACGCATAGGGGCATTCTTGCTGCGCCTTTTGCATGGCCTTTTTAGCCAGCTCTCCGCACAGCTTGGCTCTTCGTGAATGACCTCCTGGCAGCATTGTTTCGGCCCAACTCGCGCAAGCAAGTTGCTCTCCTTGTTGCTTTCTTCGCCAGGCGTCAGTGCGCAGGACAGGCGCCGCCTGGATCTTGGTCTTTACGGCGCCACGCGTTGCTTTCTTCGCCAGGCGTCAGTGCGCAGGACAGGCGCCGCCTGGATCTTGGTCTTTACGGCGCCACGCGATTAGGCGAGGCGCTGTGCTGTGACGCCACGCTCGTTGCCCCGCTCCGTCGCGACGTCCCACCGCAACCACGCGCGGCCGATGAGGACGGCGCACGCAAGACTGTGGCCATCGTTTGTTTCTGCGCTTGATTCCAAAGCTAACCAAAGCCCTTAGGCTCCAGGCCTGGAGCGCAGGGGCAAAAGCACCCATTGCCCAGCCACAGTGCCGCCTCGGATCCCTCAGCAAAGCATACTCGCATTTCCAAGCCAAGCAAAGCTAGCTTGGAATGGCGCCTGCGTGCTTCCAGTTGGATCTCGCATGCCCGCTGAAAGGCAAACCCCTGCTGGTCTTCATAGCACAGTGGGCATTGAAGGATGGCTCATCTCCAGCAAATCCAGAGCCTGGTTTCGAGAAACTTGGAACTTCTCAAAAGTTAAAAAACAAGAAGGAAGTCCAGCGGCACCTTGCATGCTTTGAAACCCTTGCACAGCTAGCCCTCATGCGCATTGCATGGACAGTGAGGGACACGCGAACCACTCCACCTGCATTCCCGCGCGAAAACACGGCGTCTGAAGCGGGGGTGAATAAATTATGAAACCTTCGCTGCATTTGCACATAGGCCCATTGCCAGGATACGCTTTAGCCCGCATGACTTTTGGCCTCACAAGTCCGCTTTAACGTAGGATGCCCCGTGGCGCCCCGAACGTAGACAGGCGTCGCAACCGCACTAAAGAGGGGGAAAAAAACAGAGGGGGCGATCGACATTCCGGTTGCTCAGGGCCCTAAAGTGAGGGTATGATCACAGGCTCCTCTGAGCAACGCCAGACAAAAAAAAAAAAAAAAACGGGGCGAGACGTTTCAGTTCGTTGCCCCTTTCTGGGTTACATGTTCTCCCGTTTGGCTTGAAGCAGTGAACGGGATTGTAACGCTTGGGGTTTTTGGTTCTCTCGTGTTCTAATCCTGTTTGAATCTTGGCCGCGTTGCCATTTATGCTTCAAGCCTTCGGGGGTCATGTTCTCAAGGGTTTGATCCCATTTTAAAGCCCACCCTCCCACCCTGTCGCGTCATTTAGGTTAACCATCGGTGACCAGCGCTCAGGCATGCTGACAATCACATCCGCAAGCGGGCACAGAAGATGTCAGAGCTGGCCATTTGTCTCCCAGCGGACCCCCGCCCAAGATGCCGTCTGCTGGTGAACGCGCTTTTTTACGCTCGGCTACGGAGAGGTTTGTTGCGATCGCGCTTGGACGACAGTACGGTGGAAGGTCACAAAAAAGACCAGGTTTGAAATCGGCTGCGGCAGGGTTTTTAGACGAAGAACCTACGTGAAACCTACGCGAAACCTACGCGAAGCCTACGTGGAGCCTACGCGGCGCCTACGCGAATCCGCCTTGTCTTTGTGAATTTCGAAAATGTTGTTAACCTATTCGCGCAACGGGTCTACTAGCAGCCGCGCCGCAGTACGAGTTGCTAGCTGCACTGCTGGAACAACGCGTCTGGTTTGTCGGGCGTGCGAAGTTCAAGACGCGGATGGCCTGCAGAAATTGTCGCGGCCCTTGCTTTGGCGCGCCTCACAAACCCAACGGGGTTGGGACGGGGGAACCTTGTGGCTGATCTCGCGTGTTCTTGCGAGAAAATAGGAGTGTTCCACACTGCAGCCGTTTCAGGCACGAGGCACGGACTCTTTGGCGCCTGCTGCCGCAGCTGTGTGGGACACGCTGTTTCAGTGCGTGCGGTGGCTGGTCTACGCATCACGTCAGGTGCTGTTGCCATCCCTGCCGCCATCTTTGAAGGCGTTGTTTGACGGCCATTGGGTGATGTGTCTACCACATTGTCGCGAGGTTCTGGTGAGGCGCGGATCAGGTTCGCCCAAAAGGAGCTGCAGGGTGTCCCACTTGGCGTGGTCGTGAGCTGCAGGGTGTCCCACGTGGCGTGGTCGTGGGCTGCAGCAGGGCCGCCGACTGAGAAGGCGGGATGGTGCAGAGGTGCTGAGCGCGCGGCGCGGCGCAGAAAAAGAGCAAACACCATGCGTTCGACAAACTCCGGGCGGCCGATGGGCAAGCATTGCGCAAGGCGGCCCCTTCCGCTCGCCTTTGGTGGCGCACGGGCTCCGAAGAAGAAGAAGAAGAAGAAGAAGAAGAAGAAGAAGAAGAAGAAGAAGAAGAAGGCCGACACCAAGGTGGTATCAATTGCAAGTTGGGCGCCCCCCCACTCAGGCAACCCGCCGGCAATGACTTCAATTCTCCGTTCATCTGGGCCGCACCGACGTTAAGGTCGTGGACGAGGGTGTGGATGGTGACCAGCGCCCCAGCCTCACAACACACACACGGGCGGCCGCACATTCAAGCGGCCCCCCTCGGGCTCGCAGCACACCAGCCCTCGGGCACGCCTGGTGGTCGCCCACGCCCGCCGGCGCAACGTGCAGGCAGCAAATGCAGTGGAAGGTGAGGCCGCCTCAACAGGATCCACACGGAACTGCGCCGGCTCTACGGTGAGCTTTTGGGACGTAGGCAGCATTGCGAGGACCTGGGCAGAGCACGGGCCAGACTTGGACAACAGCATAGCGGTGGCTGCCGCTTCTTGCTGCCACCCACGCGATTGGCCAGGCTCACGGTCCTCGATGGCGCGCCTCCGCAGCTCCTGCGCTGCAGGCCTTGCTCAGGGGTGGTCCGGGGCGGAATCCACGGTGGAGTCTGTGGTGGATTGCGCTGTGGGGTCCGTTGCTGGTATCCGTGGTGGTGTCCGCCGTGGTATCCGCCGTGGTGCCCCTGGCCCCCTGTCCCCCTGTCCCCACGGGCGCGGGCGCTGGCATGACAAGTTGCTCTTGGAAGATGCGCGTTGCCGCTGTGCGCTTTGCATGGAGGTGCCAGAGGACATCTCGGCTGCTTTGGGCTTGGCACGCATGAGAGCTTCCAGCAAGACGAAGGGTGGCGTGCGCGAACCACGTGCGGAGAGCTGCTTGAGCGCCAGCGTTTCTTTCAACGACCCAAGGCTTTTCACGGCCGTCCTTCCCTGGTCGCGTTGGCACCGCTCGCCTCGTCATGCGTAGGAAGGAAAGCTGCTGGTTGCTGCTTCCAAGTGGTGGCCAATGGCTCGTTCGACCAGGGTGGATGTCTGCAGGTGTTGGCCACAAGCACCAGCATGCAAGCGGGAAGGCGGGTACGTACAAATTTCTGCGCATCGCGCTTGCAAATTGCCATTTCTTTAGGCGTGGGCGCGATTATTTTCGCGCATTTCTTCAACATTTTTTTCGCAAACACATCAATGTCCTTCAAATTTCTTTCTTGGCGCGGAAACGATGTTTTTGCTGCTGTTTTGTTGCAAATATTATTTGCGCAACTCCATCGATGGTCCCACGGTGGGTTGTCCTGGTTGGTTGACCTGTAGGTGTAGGTGCCCTTGTCCTCGCCGTGGTTGGTTGGCGTGCTGATGTGGGTGTAGCGGTGCTGCCACCTTGACAACTTGAACCCTGCGATAGCTCCTTCGGAAATGATCGATCTGTTTCGGCTAAGCACGAGAAGACGACGCGTTCGCTTGGATATCTTGGATCCACCACCTCATAGCACCCATGCTGCAGGCACGTTGGTTCAATCCCAGGAGCCACAAGCCATGAGCCCACGGCAGCGCAGCAGCCCTTGTTGGGTTGCGTTGCCCTCGCATTGATGGCATGCCATGTCCAAATTTATCAACCTACCTGAGGACTCGCAGGACCCGCGCGTATTTGCATTTTTGGGCTGCTGAAGCGAGTGCCGGAATGCCTGTATCCATAAGTTGTGCTTGTGGTGGTTTGTGGCTTTCCGAATGTGTTGGGGGGGCTTCGCTTCCACTCCATGTGGAGGATCTGGCGAAATTTGTCTTCGCCGCCAAGCCAGATTGGAGCGCTGAAGAGCGCCGGGCAGTATTTGCAAAATTATCCGCCATACAGTTGCTTGGCAGGCCTCCTTCATGTCAAGCCGGCCAATGTTGTTACAAGAGGCATAGGCACATACTTCCAGGGCAATGAGGGTTGTTTGCTTGGGACTCGGTTCATGCTGGTAGGTCCGCATGCAGATTTGGGGAGCTGTGGTTGGACTTCACTGGCTGGCAGTGGACGAGGGGTTTGCGAGCCAGCAATGTAGGGCTTCCACGCTCACAATGCCTTCAATGAAATCCGACTGTGCGTCTGCCTTGCGGACAGCAGTAAACATATTCTCGCATGACCATCGCACATACGGCTTGGTTGATGACGGCCAGCTTGCAGCAGCTGAGGATACGGGATGTCGATTCTTTGTTGCTGGCGTTATTTGCGGAGGGTGACCAGTCCTTGAACGCAAGATTGCGGGCAGCTGGCCAGAAGACGTTCGGCAGCCGTACGTTGCAGGACAGGATTTGCCTTCATGCTCACACGAACACATCATATATGCGGTCACAACACGTCAAAAGATATATATATATATATATATATATATATATTTGAAGGTCGTGTGCAGGTCGTGCCGAGCATTTCCGTTTGTGGCTTCGTCTCCTATTGACACGAGCCCTCAGGAAAATATTCGCATCAGGTCACGGGCTTTTCTTGTGGGAGGGTGGAATTATTTACTCGAGCAATTGGATGGCAGTCATCCACTTGTAGACCCACATTGCATTTTCTGGGCTTTCAAGGCCCATGGCTCACGTAAGCTGTCGTGTTCTGACGCAAGCTGGGCAACGGTGCCCTTTCCAGCCTCCATGGTTTGGCCACGACTTGACCCTCCAAAAAAGGAAAAGGAAATGGTCCAAGCAAAAACTGCTCCTAGCCACGTTTGCCGCTTTCCAAAGCTGCTCTTGTGCGCACTGCGCGAGGCGTTGGAAGGTCAAAGCCGGCACTGGGCTGGGGAGCGGTCGGAGCTCATTTTGCACAGCACCACCGCGGCATGCTTCACAGCTACGCAGGCAGAGGCCCAGTCGCGGGAGGTGGAAATGCAGGCCGTTCCGGCAACAACAGCAACCACAGCCGCAACAGCAACCGAGGCGACAACGACAACACTAGCTAAGAAAAATACAGGAAAATAAGAACCTTAAGAAGCAGCAGGAGCAGAAGAAGCAGCAGAGGAAGAAGAAGAAGAAAGAGACGGAGAAGGAGAAGGAGAAGGAGAAGAAGAAGAAGCAGCAGAGGAAGAAGAAGAAGCAGCAGAGGAAGACGAAGAAGAAGAAGAAGAAGAGGAAGAGGAAGAGGAAGAAGAAGAATAAGCTCAGCAAAAAGCAACACCAAACAACTCGCCATCCCCTGCCAGCCCTTGTAGGTTTCGACCAAGTTATCTGTGGCAACCGCAAGCTCCATGTGCGTTTTTGAGTTGCCGTGGCCGGCAAACACCGAGCAGGTGAGAGAGCCTCCGCCCGGGTGGTCGGAGTCGCCCAACTGGGAGGCCGGGTGTCGATTCCCGATGCCAGCCGCCAGCGGGGCCAAGGCTCGACAGGTACGTAAGAAGACCGAGACCTGCGTAACCCTAGCAAGCCCCAGCTCCTCAATTTTGAGTTGTACATCCATTTTAAGGGCTCTAGGAAGAACACAACATTGCCACGCTTTCATGACTGAGGCTAGCGAAATGATGGCCAACTCACCAAATCAGAATGAAGATTCCTTCTTTCGTGACTAGACTTTTGCCCAACATTGATCAGGCATTGCATGAAGGGTGTTAAGGTGCTTTGAGCACCGTTGCCCTCAGTGGTACTTGGGTAATGGGGCCCCAGTTGGCTTCCCCTTCAACCAGCCCCCAAAAAAGTCAGTAGGGAATGACCTTCCGGGTGTTGGGAATGAATCGGAAGGGGAAGCCAAATCGGGGATGGTTTCTCTCGGGGTCATTCCAGTTCACTTCCCTACCGCACCAGCAAAACAAATACCAAAGAAAACAGCAAAGAACAAACGCCTCTCGCCTTGCACTGGCAGTCCACGCAAAGCACAAACTATACATTCTATGTCCAAAACCTCTTCGCCCCAAGCTCTGCCGGCCCTGGCTGGAATGTTCCAGACCACTCAGTGGCCGCCAGCGCGCTGTGCCACATAGGCCGCCGCCTCCGCGGGGTGGTGGCGGGTCGTCAGCAAGCCCAGCGTCTGGGCCCACCAGCGCCCCGACGCGGACACCGCCTTCGTGGCGGTGCACTGCGCGGGGAAGCTGCTGGCGATGAGCCAGGCTCGCTTCGACCTGCGCATGGGCGCCCACTGGCTGAAGCTGGGTCGGCGCTGGTAGGGGGGGACATGTCGATTGTTTTCTTCTGGTGTCATCTGCCATTTGTTTAAACAACATGAAAAGTGAAGCAAACAAATGATAAATCAACGTATGTATACACATAAATATAAATGCAGACCTATAAGTATAAATATACACATAACACACACACACACACATATATATATATATATATATACATACGCATATTTCCTTTTGAAGGATGATGGAAGCTTCCTTGCAAACAACAAACAGAACAGGTTTGAACCCTAGGTGTAGGGTGGAGCGTTGACCGAGGAAGCTCCGCGACGAGCGTGGCTGCGAGGGGCATGGGCAATGGATTATTTCGAGCGTGGGCGCCGCGTTTCACGAGGGCATGGCGATTGTGTTTGACGAACTGCTCGAGCAGGTCTGCGAGCCTGGAGAGAGCCCGTCGCCGGAAGCCCAAGTTTCTGGGTGCTAAATAGCTCCAATCTTTGAGATCTACCCAAGAGGAGGAGAAAAAAACAACAAAAAACGCGAGGCTTCTTTTTGTGCCCCAAATCCAGACCGCCCCAACTTGGCGATCCAGGTTTCACATCACCTGTCGGTGGCGGCATTCCACGCCGCCGTGCGGGAGAAAGCCGAACCGCCGGAGAAAGTGGGGCGCTGGGAGCGGTTGATGCGGTTGGTAGATGCGGCCTACCACGGCGCCCTCACTGCAGGGTGCCATACCTTTCCCTATGCGAGGCAGGGTTGGGCAGGGTCGGTCCGGATTCGAACAGGCCATGTGCCGCGAAGGGAAACCATTAGGCTGTTCAACGTCGAATGTGCTTAACCAAGGGCTGTGTAAAGGCGCCAGACGCGGGAAGGGTATGTTTTTTCCAGACAGCGTACTTAACTCAGGCCTCAACATCTTCCTGCGGCGTTTGGTGGAGCCGAGCTCGAGGCAACTGGCGCGACGCTTTTGTCGCAGGGCTACCTCGTGCTGGATGACTGCTTTGAATCCGGCTGGGTGCAGGATTTCGTGGCGGAGGCGCCGCACGCCTTCGAACCTTGGGTTGGCTTTCCTTCGAACCTTGGGTTGGAAAGCAAGCCCAAGTCTGTTGACACCCAATGGGAAGACAGGCCCAGTTCAGAGCTTGAGCAGCAGTCCGGGGGCAAGACGCCCTTTGGCTCCTGATTTGTTTTGATTCAAACTCAAGCTCACCGGGATCGAGCTCACGCGTGATGGAGGTCTATGTAGTTTAGGTTTATGAAGACTGCCAAATCGAGGCATTGCTGGTAGGAGCCAGGGAGCCACCTTTGAAAGTGTGATGCACTCCAGGACCCCAAACCCAGTGAAAATTGACCAGAGGGTGTTGGAAGATCGACATTCCTTGCGCCGCATGTCCTGTTCATTTTCCCTTGGCTTTGATTGGCCCAAAGATGGTCCTCATCGCTCCCTAAGTCATGGTAGGCAATGAGCCGTGCCGTACGTCTTCACTTGGACGAAATTCATGTAGGGGAGCTGAACACGTGTTGGCCGTATGTCTTTGAGAGTGTGTGTGTGTGTGTGTGTGTGTGTGTGTGTGTGTGTGTGTGTGTCAATTCAATCAACACATGCACACACCCAAATGTCTCATGTTTTTCCTCAACACTCATGGACCCTTTCGGTATGATTTGAAAGGAGAACCAACTGGAAACCAACCACGCGGGGCACGGGCCCTAATTCTGAGACCCCACATGCACGGGACCAAAGGTGTCATTTTTGGTTGTTTTGGTAGAAAAATAGATGGCCCTGGTGTAGCTGGTGGTTTAATCATCTACCAGGGCCATCTATTTCCCCTAAAAGGACACATGAACGTGACCTTTTCCCGCGCGCGCAAAAAAGGAAAAAACAGGACGCCAGCGGACCCGCGCTGCCAGGTGAGGAACATCGGCGAGAGCGGGGTGCTGGAGCCCGCAGATGTCCAGCAAGCCACCAGCGGCCAGCGAGATGATGCTCGACATGAAACGCGCTCATGGGCGTCCTTTTTGGTTGGCTTGCTAAAAAAATAGAGCGCCCTGGTTTAGATGGGGGTATTCCATTTACCAGCGCCATCTATTTTTCCAAAAGGCCACCTATGTTTTGACCCGCAGATTCACACGGAAAGGAAGCTGTATGGAACCCAGTCTCACGGGTGTTTGTTTGGGTTGTCAGGTGCGATATAGACCCTGCCCTCCTTTGAAACACAAAAACGATATGTTTTTTGTTTGTTGCAAGCGTGGCTGGCTTCCAGATGGGATTGGAGCGCGCGCAAATGTTTGTCAGCCTGGTTCAAGTTGGCTTCGCGCCTGTTCATTCTGGCCGTTTCCCACTTGTTGTAAATCCACATGTTTCAGTTGCTTGTGCTAGCTGCTTTTGAAATGTAAAATGAACAAGCAAGCGCTAGTAGTTAGCGTGTATTGTGTTCCACTTGGCTTACAAGGTTGGCCCCTGGCACGTTTGTTTCCGGTTGGCCATTTATCTGATCGTTTCCCACTTCTGGATGATCAGCCCATCAGCCCAAAGTGTTCCATTTTTGGGATCCGGGATGAAAGCCAAGTTGCGTGTTGGTTGAGATTCGGCACGCGAATTTCCACTTGGCAGCTGAGATGGCCTGGCCAGACCTACCAACCTGACATCTGGGTGTCATTTTCAGGGGACCCCCAAAACGGGTGGTTTTCCTTTGTATAAACCACAGCCAAAGGGGTACTGAGCCTCAAAGAAAGACACTTGACACGGGGAGGCCCTGTGGCTCCTTCCCCTCGGGGCTGAGGACTCCGTGCTTTGGATCGACGAGGGCAAATATGGGTCCCGTTGGCCTCACGTCTGCCGCGGGGTTCGGGCATTGAAGGCGATAGCGCACGCCCTGAACCCGGCTCTTTCGTGCCTTGCCCGGGATCAGCAGCGCAGGTTTTGGATTTGAGTTCAGGAAAAGGTTAGCTTAAATGTGTTTCAACCCTTGCCCCTAAGACGAACCAAACAGGGAGATGATTTAAGCAACGGTTTTAACAAGTTCAAGGGGGTTTTAGCAAGTTTAAAGGGGGTTGGCTCCAACCTTGGGGCGCAGTCCATTTTGACGACTGCCCCGTGGGATTGGGACACTCCGAGCTGTTCCGATCCCGTGCACAGTATGCTTCAAGGCCAACGAACCCATCGGTTTGTAGCTGTTTTCAAGAGCCGGGCCGCAGGTTTTAGTCTGCTTGTTCATCCAGGGTTCCATTTTTGGCCTAGCTGTGAGCCACACCACAAGGGGAAGCGGGAGGATTAGCTGTCGCTTTGGGCCCGTTATAGCGAGCTAAACTGGGGATAAAATGACCCAGGGTGTTGGGAATGAGCCTAGGGATTCCCTTAAAGGAAGCCACAAGGGATGGTTTATGGGGAAGTCCCTCATTCTGTGCTGAGCACCAGCAAGTTATTCAAAATGAGGGCGCCCTTCCGTGATGATTCCTGAATGTTGGGGGAATTTGGATAGTTAATCAATGCAGCCCCTTGTCCCGTGTTGGTGGTTCAAATGTCTTGACATGGTTCAAGCTAGTCTCACTCAGCTCGCTCCAATTCTCATATTGAAGTCTGGAGTCTGCAGGGCCTCTTGACAAAATAAGGCCACCTGAGGCCCAGTCCTTGGTTCGCCAGGCTTCACCACCAGCGGCTCTGTGACGCCGGCGAGCCTGCGCACCAAGCGCCACCCGTCGCACCAGCGGCACCGGAGGCTGTGCTCACGGTGCCAGTCAAGGCCGGCGGGGGCTAGGCCTTCAGACCTCCGCTGCCTTTCTTTAAGCTCTAACAAACAGAAGGGGTGCTCACTGGGATGTAGTTGTACAGCTCCAATGCTTGCAAAACACCGCAAATACCATTGCCTTCCTCTGCCCTTAGTTTGGAGAACAGCTGTTGGGGTCCAACCTTGAAACGTCCATGGTTGAAGAATAAACGCCCCGCATTCTTCTATGGCACAGCATTCTGCATACAAATGGCTGAAGACAGGCAAATGTTTATTTGTACATCACGGGCATACACTGGTCATAATCACGGTGTACGCATGTGTGCGTGTGCGTGTGCGCGTGTGCGTGTGCGTGTGCGTGTGGTGCGCCTGTGCGTTTGTGTTTGTGTTTCTGTGGCAACCTCGAGCTTCAAGCTGCCCCGAACAGGCAGGCGTTGGTTGAATCTAGGAAAGGCTGCCCAATCCTCTATATATAGGACTCCCGCTTCCCAGACTTGGCATTAATTGGGCGAGAGCTTTTGTCAACTTTCCACGTCATCACGCGAATGGAGCTGAAGAACAGGTGACTCCAGGAACTGATGCTATGCTGTTTTTCCAGCCTGTACTGACAGGCCCCACACACAAAGCAAGACAAGCAGAGGAACGGTATGTAGGCATGTCGTTTGATGATATGTGTTTTGGGTTGTGTTTTATCGCGCTTTCCATCGGCAGCTTTCGAGAAGCCCAACTGAACCATGGAAAGCAGACCAACCTATGTGTTGGAGTGGGCTGACTCAGGCAATGCTGGCATGCTACCCTGGCAACGGTGCCAGCGCCTGGGCTAGAAACGGGCTGGTGTTTCATGCCATTCAAAAGGGAGTCCCTGTTGCTTGCTGGTGCTCAGCAGGGAATGAGGGAATGACCCTTACAAACCATCCAACTTTCCCACATTCCGTACCTATCGCACCAGCAAGGTGGTTTGGACATCCCCTTCCAGTCCATCAGCAGGCGCTTGCCAAAAGGCCCCCAAGTTTGAGCGGTGTGCGTGGTTGCTGAGGGTACATCCCCCACACTGACAGCAAGTACATCGAAAACATCGGCAAGCGCAATCCCCGAGAGCTGACCGTGCCGCGCCCAGGGTCTGACTCTGCTTCCAGTTTCCGCGTTTGCCTGTTGCACACCTATGGGAATATGTAAGGCAACACGCGGCTTTGCCATGGGTAGCAGAAACCTTGGGCTGCTTTTGGAAGACCAGGGCTGTGAGCGTTCTTGGGAACCTAGGGAGGGGGGGGACCGCCCATTTTACAGGAATCCAAGAAGCGGTTTGGATGTGGCTTTTGTGGATCCACTCCTGTGGGGTATTACAAGAGTGCCCCAATTTTTCCGGGGCTGATGGTGCGAGGGAGCCTCCTTCGCCAACCGAGGCGATCATTTACGCGAATCCTCCCGACTGGACGACTTGCCGTGACCGAGTTGTCCAGTGGCATCTTTTTCCCTTCCTTTACGCTTTTCCCTTCAAATCTCGGGGCCTGAAGCAAAAATTGTGCCGGTTGTTCGCATTCCTGCTGCAAATTGAGACGGCCAGGGTCAAAATGATGAACCGACACACACTCATTTCTCTTTTTCTCGGTGTTTGGCCCGAAGATTTCTTAAGTTTCAACGTTTTCTAAGGCAAATCCCTCGACGCCCCCCGGCCACGTCGCAACTCGCGACTCGCGACCGGTCCGCGTGAGTGAGGCGACGGCGGGGCTTTGAGGATCTACCCCGGGTCGCAGGGCCTGGAGGCTTGCCCCGAGGCCCCGGGTTCATCGAGGGGGTGGGAAAACGGGGGCGACCGCCTGGCAAATGGTGGTTTTTTCTAGGGGAGTTCCCGATCAAAGAGTAAACGACCGTGGGTGTCTTGTCTCATCTTCCTTTGCTTAAGAATACGTTTAGATTTACTCTTCCCCCCCCCCCCCGCACAGGGAACTACTGGATTTGTGTTTAGTTTTTTCAGGCGGCTTAAGTTGGAAGTTAAAGGGGAGCCCGGCAAATGGTGGTAATTGCCCTCAAAATAGACCCCCCCCCTCCCCCAAATGAAGCAGTTAGGTTCTTCCTTTGGTCTTCCTTCGGCCTAGGTTCTACGATCTTGAGAGCAACCCAGTGCTGGGGTTCGGCGTACGTGGTTTTTCGGGGCCGGGACAAATGGAGCCCAATGACATTCTGGCGGGATTGTCCCCCAACTTTGCGGTCAAGCGTTCCTTTTTGGCATGGCTCAAACTGGAGCGCAAATTACTTGGGTCAATCGGGCGGATTTTTGTGGAGCCATTAGGCCACCAGAACGTATTTTCATGAAAGCGCTCAAACAGAGATCCCGCAAGTTCCTCGAAAGATGAAGGATTTCCAGTTCCATTTTTTTCCGGGGGACGCGCACGCTGCCTCTTGTAGCTGTGACCTGGGTTCAACAGCCATGCGGACGGGGTTTCCCGCGTCCCTCCAAGTTCGGGCATTCCCTCAGGGTTGCAACAATCCAGTGTCAACAATTGGAACCTAGGATGAATGAACCGCTTGATTCCAAAGGATTCCGAGCCTTGGGGCAGAACATGTTCCTTGTCATCCAGGTTTGTTTCTGAATTATCCGAGGTCAACATTCTCCTAACATGGAACGCGTCAGAGGGTTCCATCGTTGGCCGTGGCTCAGATGATAAACTACGCACACCATGGCAAATCCCAGGTTGTTACTGGGTCCGTTAAAAACCATGGTGTCTCCTCCCTTTACTAATTTGAGGATGTCTGGGTTTCTTAAAAGGATGGTGGTCCCCCTTTACGCGATCAGTGCCAGAATTTGAGGATGTCACTTTAGTCAACCCAGGCTTAGCAGCCCCATCTTCTTGTGTGTCGCAGTGGTCCGTCTGGCCGTGAGGCGTCCAACCCTGTAGTGGTGGAGCCGATGCTTAGCCAGGTTATGTTCATCCGACTGGAAGGGGCAGCTCGCTCCCTCCCCTCCCCTCCCCTCCCCTCCCCTTTCCCCTCCCCTTTCCCCGCCCCTCCCCCCCTCCCCTCCCCTCCCCTCCCCTCCCCTCCCCTCCCCTCCCTCCCTCCCTCCCTCCCTCCCTCCTTCCCCAAAAGAAGCAACAAGAAAACTGTGTTCTCCTGGTTTTCCTTTTAAAGACCCCGCCAAGAAATAAGAAAAGACACAGCAACAACTGTTTCCTCTTGGTTTCCCTTTTAAAGAGCCCCTTTTTAAGGATGCCATGCAAGAAAGACATACTTTCCAGGCTTGGTGAAGCAGCAAATTCAGGAGGGATGTGGGCGAACTCTGTAAGTTTGAAGCACAAGGGGGAGCCCAGCAATTTCGGCCCTGTGGAAAGCCGTGCCAGTTGACTTGGAGCAAAGGAGCAGGACATGGCCATTTCACCACACACCAACCAGCAAGTACCTCGAACTTGAGGTTTCCAAGCAGCAGCATGAAGCAATTGGACATGCACACACGTCGGTGGTAAACAACCGGTGGTCTTTTTTCTTGCTGGCGCTCAGCAGGAAATGAGTTGGAATAGAATCGGTTCATTCCCAAAACCCCGACATGTTGTCATTCCCCTACTGAGCACCAGCAAGTGTTTGGCTCTCGACGCCGGAAGGGTTTGGCTGCATGCCAATTGAAACTCGGTGTCAAGGGACCCTGGGACGTGTGGTCTTGGACATAGGTGGCCTTCTTAGGTGAGTTTGGCTAGAAATAGGTGGGTTCCACAGGCTGAGATGGGTTTTATTCCATGTTTAGGGCCATCTGTTTTTAAAAGGTCGCCCATGGTTTTGAACTGCAGACCAAAAATTGGCGTCCAGATTTTCGAGGTGCCTTTGGGCGCCGTGGAGCTGAGGATCGGCGGCCGCCTGGTGGTGTTCTTCTCCGACCTTTGGCCCAGCCCTTGGCTGGTGGGGCAGTCAAGGAGGCCCTATAATTCACTGGGGTCACTCGCATTTGGGTATGGGTCAAAGTTCAACCACCAGGGGTTTGCAGGTCCTTATTTCAGGTGTGTTCCATTTGGGTACCTATGCTGTCTTGCAGCCTGTTTCTTGACTTCCCCCATGGCGGCATGGAGCCATCCCCTTGTCCCTTGGCTGCTTGAGGTACGGGCGCCTGGATCTTCACTAGTCTGTGGTTTGGATTCTCGAATTTCGCCAGGTTCAGCTTGCCGGTGCTCAGAAGAGAGGGAATGACCCCAAGAACCCATCCCTTGCAATTTCCTTTGCATTCGCACCAGCAAGTCACCGGAGCGGCAAATCTTTTTGACCACCTCTCAACGGTCCGGTCAGTTGAGGCATGAGGTCCTGCCGGCGCATCGCCCGCGGAGCGCGCTGACTCTCTGGATCTTCCGGCCGACCCAGAGCAAAGTGGGGGGGGAAAAAGCCATGTCTGTGAGACAACCCCCTAGAGCATGAGCAAGCAGTCATGGGCATGGGAATCCTACTGGTTTTACAAGGGCACCAGCTGGCCGGCTGGTTTCTGAGAACTCTTGGGTGGATCAAACATGACATTTTTCAGACAACTATCAATTGAGTTTGCTTCAGGTGGGGGGATGAAGAGAGGGAGAGAGAGAGAGAGAGATAGTGAGAGAGAGGCAGAGAGAGAGAAAGAGAGAAAGACAGAAAGAAAGAAAGAAAGAAAGAAAGAAAGAAAGAAAGAAAGAAAGAAAGAAAGAAAGAAAGAAAGAGAGAGAGAGAGAGAGAGAGAGAGCGAGAGATAAAACAAAGAGAGAGCTCTCTCCGTTGCGTGCCCTGTTCAGCAGTGGGTCAAGGTGGGGCAAAAAGCTTCACGTGCGACAAAAGGCAGGTGGTAGTCCGACAGGGCGGTTCGAGATTGCAGACGTTTTGAGCTGTTGGCATTGACCAAAGCCATATTTAGGAGCAGCAAAGGCAGGCAGCCCAAGGCATCGCAGAGCAAGTCGAGACTTCGATGCCCAAGAGATGGCGCGCGCCTGTGTGGAAAGGCCGCCTTGTTTTGGACTTTGTTTTTTTTTGGCGGGGCGGGGGGTCGTTTTGTGGAGGGTTCGACGAAAGGGCTGGTTTACACATTTGCCTGGGCCACCGGCGATATGGAACCTGCTGCGGGCATGTGGCTTACCGCCTTGCCGTGCTGCCATTTGTTAACACGCTTTGGTTGCATGGTGCATCGCTTTGGCCACGACCTGTTTTTTCACAGGAAAGCACTCGCAGAAAGCTTTGGCAGGAAATAGAGGCGTCGCTCACCAGAGTCATTCATTTCTGCGCATCAGTGTGTGTGTGTGTGTGTCAGATATCTCCGGATCCGGATGCTTCGATGCAGGCATCCTTTAAAATAAATCACAGGTGGTGACACCAGAAACCCGGGCAGATCTGTTTGGAGACAGGTGCCGTCAGATGTTGCAGGACGCCGGAGGCAGGCTTGCTTGAGTGGCATGAAAACAGGGTCGTTGGTACGCATACAAAGGGCTCCGCCCCATCTCACTTGCCCGGAAAGAGAAGCTGGACTTTCCCAGCGAAAAAGTGCAGAGGCGGCTTTTGCGTGTTTGGCGGATGCAACTTTTTGGGAGGGATGCACTTTTTTGTTTTTGTTTTTGGGAAGGGCCGTTTAGTGGAAGTGAGCCATGCTGGATGCCGGTGACCTTTCTTTCGCCTACGCCGAAGCCTCAAGATTTAGGGTAAGTACCCGATGCACGCGGGTCGAGGTTGCCATTTTCACCTGACAATCCTGTCTGAGAAGGGTAAGCTCCTCAACTCTTCTGTGGGCTAAGCCTTTCCTTTTGGAACTCATCGACAGACCACGTCAGATTCAATCAGCGCCCCTGGCTTCGTAGGGCTGGTGGGATTTTTTTTTCCTTCTTGTTTTTTTGGGCGGGCGCCCCATTTAGCACGAGAATTTGGCTATGATTCTTAAGAGTCGAAGCCACCTCAGTGGACAATCCCCACCGAACTTTGATGGCCACCAAATCGGGTCTCTAGGGTGTCCTTTTTGGTTGTTTTGGTGGGAAATAGATTTGGGGCGCCCTGGTTTACCTGATTGTATCATAGTTTGCTAGGGCCATCCAGTTCTCCCAAAACGGCACCTACTACAAATTCTGTATGTGGATCAACCCCCGTCTCTTCTCCCACGTTTTTCCAGCCCCGGCCTAGGACCCGGCCCCATAGAAAGCAGGTCGGGAGGCCATGGGGCGCCCATGAAGTGACGCCATGCGCTGGCACTTGGCAACGGATTCGGCCTCCCTTGGCTGGCACCTGGCATGGCTCGTATGCCTCTTTGGCTGCTGGGCTGAGCTGGTTGGAGTCGATCGACCGGTTTGGCCCAGCCACGAGGTAAGGTGGAGGTAAACCCAAAAACAAGAGCAGGCATAAGGTTGGAGAAGCTGGATCAGAAACCGACGCCAATCCAAATGACCAATTGCTTGGATCTTCAACCCACTGAGAAGGTTATTGCCATGCTTATGAGGGGGCTAGCCCCGGTTGTCTCAGGTACACCCATGGTTATGATCTACTAAGTTGGCTGAACAACTCTTTCTTTGCAATGCCAAGCCAAGCCAAACCACGGAGCCTAGCAATCCAACCAACATCCAACCAATCCAACCGATTGAGGGGCCCGCTCGCCGAGGCATGCTGGGGCAGGCAGGCTTCAGCCTCCCGCTAGCCGTGCTCTGCGCGCCCCGTCGCCGAAGGGTTTTGGTCATGGGCGTCCCTTTGCCGTCTGGGGCGTTCAGCGAGACTCGTGGAATGCCTTTCCGGCCCAGTGAAAGTGCGGCCGGCCGCCCTTGAGTCCTTCCGCCTAGGCGACGGCGGTGGCAGGGACGTTGGGGCGCCTCGCCTGGCGCAGCTGCCAAAAGCTCTGTGTGAGGCCAAAGGCCTTCCACCAGATGAAGCTCCTGGAGCTCGGCTGGCGCCGCTGGGCCAGCATTTGATGTGGCTCGGGGCTTCTTCTTTTTTTTTTTTGAGAAAACTAGCTGAGGGAATAAAGGGTCTGAAGATCCGGAAAAAAAGAAAAGGAACAAACATCTGGCGTGCTTCCGGGGGTCTTCGGGGTCATGTTGGCCTGACACCAGCATTGACCCCAGATGGTGTAAGAACAGTCGAGGATTGCACACCTGCTCGTTTGTTACACACGCGTTGCTGCTGATATTTTGTCTGCAAGAATATTCGCTGCGCTAATGTACAGGTCAAGCGCGGTCATCACACACCCCTAGCACAGCAGCTGAAACAGCACCTGCACCAGTACCCCAAAACAGCCCCTCCGCGAGCACCCCAAACTGCAGGCCCCTAGTCAATCTCGCAAAAAACACCGTCACCAGCACTTCAACAGCACCTGCACCAGCACCCCAAACTTCCACAACGCATGCTCCCAGAAGTGCACCCTCCGTCGCCAGATGGGGAATAAACAGAAATGCTCCACTTTCCTAGTGGTGCGAAGAGGTCACCTCTTCGCCGCCCCCTTTGCCAGGCGGTGCCTGTGGCAACCTTGCTGGCTTCCTCACCGTGCTGGGCACGCTTCAGACGCCAGCTGCAAGTTTGGCGCATTTCTTTCCCCAGCTCGTTTTGGGGGTTGCGTCGAAGCAAAAGCGAAGCCACCCACTTGGGAGGTTTTCCGAAGAGCCGGCTTTCAACTGTGCTCCAAAGGAAAGGACATTTTCCTTTTGGGGATTGGTTTGTAGGAGAGCTAAATGGAAGCACTCCATTTGTGCGTCGTTTTTCCCATGTAACTCGGCCGGAGAAGATCGTTCTGGGTTTCCCATCGAAGACACAGGCCGAAGTGAACCAGGAACTGAAACAAAGCAGCACTGGCCATCCTTGGGGCTCGGTTCTATGGGGCCACTTGGAAGCCCCGCCGACTTGTAGCGCACATGGGCTTGACTCCTGGCCCTCCGTGCAACTCGGCCGAGGTTTCTGATGGTGCTGTGTCGGCTCTGGCCAGAGGTCAAGATGGTCATGAGACTCGATGCGGCGGCTCGCCAGGAAGAGTCCCGGCCTTTGAGCCCTTGGTTCGTTTTCCAGTGGAAGGGGTGATCAAATGATCCAGTTTTTAGAAACAGGGGATGTGGTTGCGTCAGCTTCTTCTAGGTTCCGGAACCCGGTCCAAAGCCCAGGACTCCCAATCAGCCAAAAAATGGCCATGGAAGGAATGTGCGGAGTGCGGATGCCCCCTCCAGGTAGGCCGTTGCCTTGCAGTAGGGCAGTTCTCTCCTCGGGGGATGACTGTGTTGCTGCGGGCGGCGGCGGGAATTAGCCTGATTACAAATGCCTCCTGTGGCTTTCACCCATTGGCCGTTACCAGCGCAACATCTTGGCGCATACATGGATATTGGGGAGGCCCTCTGAGTCTGGTATATGATTATTTCGCACAAGCCCTGAAAGGTAAACAGGATACAGAAAGGAGAAAGGAATGAATAGAGGGATGAAGTGATAGTGAGGGAAGCGAATGGAGAGAGCGTGTACATCCTCACTCACTTCCCTCGTTCTCCTTCCTTTCGATCCCTTCCCTTCGTTTGTGACCTTTGGAATCTCTGGAACGAACGTAAGGTGAGAGAAGGGAGGTGATGGCTGTTTCCTCCGCTCTTCTCGCTGTCGTAAACCCCATTCATCTCTGTTTCCTGTCTTTCCGGTCATATTCATTCCCTTGACAGGTAGTAGGCCTCTGCATGTTTCTGCTTGTGCAGTCATTTTTGGGTGTACAGTTTTCCAATTTTGACACGTCATGCTCGGGCAGGGGCGACGACGTACTCTGCTTCTGCTGCTGCCACCCATTTGCATCCGAAGTTTTCACCTCATGTTCATGAGGGCACCCCAAAATTTCGGACATCCCTGGAGGTTCCCTCGTTCCCCTACCCTCAGGGAAACCATGCCCTCCTTAGAACACAAACAAAAAACAGCTGGGACTTGCCCTTTGCTTCCATATGCCATGTTGACTCTAGCTGTACCTGCCTCATTCTCTTCAGGGATCCTGCTCCGAAACTTGCTCCGCGAACTCGAGTGACCAGTGGGGGCGGCTGCCTGTTGCCGCTTGAGGTCCGATCGCACCGAAGGGGAGTGATTGGCGCATTCGAAAGACACCTGTTACCTATGATCTCACTCCCCGAGTTCATGGACTTTAAACACTTTTTGGGTTTGGACCATTTTGGCGGCAAATCAAGAAGGGTTGTGAGCTTTTTTTCTGGCCACTCAGGATGTGAGAGGATTCAAGGGGTTGATGGCCCCACATGTGTTTTATCTCCTCATTCGAGTGTACGATGGTAGGGAATGACCTCCAAGAGGAATTTGGTTTTCCAGGTACCCTCTCTATTTGTACCTCTTGGTTTTACATGATGACTCTCCCTGGTTTCGGGTTTGGGCCTCGATGGCTCGACTCAGGTGAAGGCAGAGGTGCTGGATGCCTTCCCCATGGGCCTGGAGCTGAACTTGACCCAAGGCCAGCTGACCAGCAACCGCCGCCCGGCCGGCAGGTTGTGCTCCCAGCCCCCCCCCCCCCCCACAAAACAAAAGGAACGATGAAAACACGCAACATCACGCAACAGTCACGCAACCATGCAAATATGTTACGAAGTTACATCAAACTTCAAGGGTAGGCACTTGTTTGGTTTTCCGTGGTGGCTCTTTCCTGGATTGCCAGTTTTCTACGGACTGCGGGACGCTGTGAATGCGCGGGATGGGTTATCTTGGGTGCCCGGCGGTGCCCGGTGCGTCAGCCTTGGCAAGATGGGCTCTCCATCCCCAGGAACTCGTTGCAGAGCTTTCCAAATCCTCGGCCAACTGCGGAAGAGGAGCTCGTTGTAATGGTTCAACGCAAAACGCGGAGGCATTGGGAATTTGCACCCGTTGAAATGTGTTCGCCTGGAAAAAGTTTCTTCGGTTCACCCGTTGGCCACGTGTTTCCTGAATTTCCAACAGACAAGCCTTTGGGCATGTGAAGTTTGGGTTGGAGGCAACTGAAAGAGATAGGCTTCCGGAAACGTCCACTTTCCCCAACCAACGCCATAGAAGAAGCAAAAAAAAAGCTGGCCCCCGATCCGGACGTGGCCGTGGGGGCCTTCCCTCCGAGGGCCGCGGCCCTTCTTCGTGGAGCTGCCCGGCACTTGGCTCTTCGACTTCTGCGGCGGGGCCCTGGGCTCGTCCCTGGCCCCTCGGCCCGGGGGGCGGTTTGCGCTGAGCTGGGTGGATCTGGTTCCTGGTTGTCCTGGTGATTCAGGGCCGCCAGGTTGGATTGGAGTGGATTCGGATTTGAAGCCCTTGTAGAAGGATAGTGGGAAACCACCCCAGAACACCGCCAAACCACCAGTCCAAACCACCAACTAAGTTAGACGCTGCTTTTGATCGGTTTAGAAATAGAGTGGTTCCACTGCTTCATGCCCCATAAACCAGCGGAACCCATCTACTGTTCCAAGGCCTGTGCGTAGGGTTGGAGGGTACAGGTTGTGTGTCTTTGTCTTTTTTTGGAGGAGGGTTTGCCAATACTGGTGGACAAAACCCACGACAGTTAGACACTTCAATAGTTTAACAACCACTAGGTTCCGGCCATCCGATCTGGTTTTGTCCATCCACAGTACCTTTTGCACGACCATGGCAAATTCTTAGGTCAGGGAGGCTCCCACCCCCCCTTGGATCCCGAATGGAAGAGACGGGTTCGGAGGGGTTTGAGCCTAACTCAGCTTTGCAAAAAAGTTCGACGCCACATGCAACAGAAGTGAGAGGGGAAAACCCGGATGGGGGCATAGTGCAGATTGAGAAAGCGCCGATGGTCAAAGATTTTAAGGTTGCGCTTCGGAAGGGAAACAAAGGCTGACACGTTCCCAAGACGAGGCATGGGGGATGGGGGATGGCCAGAGATAGGTCGCAAGTCGCCCAAACCTCAGAGCCACGTCCTCAAAATTCGATCTGGGTGCATGGGGCTGGGGTCGACCATTTTACCCTCCTACCAACATGGAATCTGCCAGGGGGTTCCTGGAAGATCATTTTCCTTTTGAATGTTGGACCGGGTCCCGGACGTCCTTCCATGAAGGAAAGCTGGGGGGGAATACCCGTCGGTTCGACTGTTTCAGGCGACTTTGAATCTGGGCAGCCCGGACTTAGACTTCCTGGGGCGCCTGGCAGCTTCCTTCCTCACGGACCCTTACTTGCCGCTGCGAGCCGGACCCTCGGGACCAGGAAGCGGTTTCAGCGGTTTCAGCCTTTTTTGGGTTTGGATGTGGGAGTTTTTTGGGGCCCATCCACTCAGGTGAGGAATTGGGTGGGTTTTTGCGAAGCCAAGTTCTGTGGAAGCAGCCGTGTAACATGGTCCCTGAAGGGGACTTGACACATGCGCTTGGCAGCGCAGGCTTTCTTGACTGCCAATGTGTTTCATCCGTTGCAATCGACTCATTAGACCGGGGCGTGCAGGCGCCTTGGGAGCGTGGCTGTGGCCAAGCGTTTCCTTTTCGAGTCCCCAGTTTCAAGCCACCGCATGCCAAGCTCCTAAAGAAGGGGGGGGATAGCCACCCTTGTCGAGGTCATGGAGTTCGACAACGGGGAGCGCGTGCAGGTGCAGCGGGCGCCCCAGTCGCTTCGGGTGTTTCCGTGGCTGGATCGAGGCAGAGAGACAGACAAACCTTCACGTGGACCAACGGACCGACAGACCCGTGGTGGTTGTTTCAGTGGGCGTTTCCTTCCCCACTCTCCGGGGTCGGTCTTTTCCGCGAAAAATAGGCCCAACCTCTGGCAACATGGGGGTGGAACCTCCAAGGAGCTTTTTTCCACCAAAAGTAGGCCAAACCCTGTTTTTCCAACAAGGCTCGGCCCAAGCTCTGGGGAAAATGGGGGTGGAAACCGGAAACCTCAGGGAGAAGCGAGGTGAAGGGTCCGGGTTGGGTCCCGGGCGCGCCACCGTCCCCGCATCTCAGGGTCAACGGAGACCTTTTGGCCTGCGGCGCCGCGGTCTCCTGGCGCCCGCTGCACATCATGGGCCGCTGGGTGCCCGCGGTGGTCCGCGGATCCCAGGCCTCCTCCATCCTGCGCCCCAGCGCCGGAGACGGGCCGGCAGGGGCTCGGGATTTGCTCGGGGCCATTCGGGGCCGAGGGGATGTGCTGGACGTGGAGAAAAGGAAGTTGCCACTTCAGGTTTGTTGCCTTTTTTTTGGGTTGGGGGTTGGGGGGGTTGGGGAGGGGGGTAAGATGGGTGAGAATCACAGATTGCAGTTTCAGGGCCCCTTCTGAGGGCTGCGGAAAGTGGGCTTGTGGGCCATCGCCTTCATTTCAACCCAGCAAGGGTGCAATGGTGAGTTTTGATCCTCCTTGGGCACACAAGGACTTGAGGCTCTTGGCAAACAGGCGTGAAGGGCATGGCCAAGAGAGGACTTGGGGCCTCCACAGGGTCGCAATATTTCCACCAGAAAGGAGCAGGGATTTGATGTAGCAGCAAAATCTTGTGAATGGCGTCCCTTTTTCGCAAAGCACATCAAAGCACCCTGCTGCTACAGGGCTTTTGTATGGCGAAGATTGTCATGGTTGACATTGTCAGTTTTGAATACTTTAGCGTTTGAACAACCCCGGGATGTTCAGCAAGTTCTTTCCAGATAATGTTGACCCAGGATTAATAAACCCGTCCCACTATTAGGGTGTTCCCTCCAAAAGTGGTCTCAATCAGGGACACCCCCCCAACCAGGGGTAACCAGGGGTTGTACTTAGATCCGGTTAACATGACAGCCCCTCTTGGCTTTTGGCGCCGGGATTTGGGTGAGGGCGCTGGTTTCAGTCCACTTGGTGGACTAGCGCAATGGCTTCTTGGAGCCTACCTTTTTTCCCCCGATCTTTCCGGAGCGCCCCTTCCCAGGCATGTGCCAGTCAGGTTGGGTCCGGGGTCTTCTCTTTCCTTTCCTCCCATGGCGCCTGGGAAAGCGGAAGCTCCTGATTTCCGAAGCGTCCCACTTGGGGTCGCTGACCTTTCCGAAACATGTTTGATGCGTGCCGCGCGTGACGCGACGTTTGGATTTCACGGCGAGGTCAGAGTACAGGTACTCCGTGCAGGTAGAGGACGAAGAGGAGGTGGAGGAAGCGCACGCTGAGGACCGGCAAACGGAAAAAGGTTGGTGTGCGGCTTTACCCGGCATGCTTCCACGCCAAAGGGGGTTTCCTATAGTTCCCCTTCTGGTCAGCAACACCTGTTTGGCCAGTTTGACAGTTTGACCTTTGTTTCCAGGAGGGGACATTTCAAGGGAGAGGCCTGCTTGTGGCCGGGAAGTCGTGGTGAGTTGTGTGTGGCGTAGCGGTTCTCTTTTTGATGAACGGCGGATGGTTCTTTTCATCCTCTTTGCGGGACCCCTACCTGTTTCTTGAGTGACTGGTTTTCAATCAACGGTCATTTTTTTCCCAGCTCTTTCCCTGTCCCTCGCTGCCCGCTCGCATCCTCGCCACGGCGTGGGCGGGGACGAGGAAGGGAGCGAGTGAATCCCAAGCCCGTCCTCTCTCATTTCACCTATCTCGTGCTCTAGATTCTGGATTCCTGGGAGTGAGCGAGGAGGGGATGGTGAGGTCAAGGATGCCACTCCAGACAAATGAAAAGAGAATTAGAGGGATATCCTCGTCCTTCCTCTATCCGTCCTTTCCTTAGCTAATCAATTGGGACGCTTGCAAGAGAGAGGGAAGCCTTTCATGGGAACGGTGCCCATGGATGAGACGAGGAAGAGGCTAACCGTTCCATCTGTGAGCAGGTCAACTCTCTCGGCCTGACCGCATGTGCGAGAAGAACCCAGCTGGCAGGAATAGAGGCTTGCCTGCTTTTCTTTTCACAATTTCTTGCTCAGTCCTTTCACAACTGCTTGGTTTCTTGATGGTGTTCTATTGGTTCGTTTGGACGTACGAAAGGCTCAACATGTCAAAGACAAAAGGTGTCTAGAGAGACAAGATATAGAGGTCAAAGTAGAGCAATATATAAATATTGTTTGCTTATCTTGGGCCACCTGGATTCGTGCACGATAACTCTAAAATACAATCTTATGATTGGAGATCTTATTGAGACAGCTGTTCTTGTGGACATGGTAAGGAGAGAGGCGAGGCAAGGAATGTCTATCTCCGACATATATATATATACATATTATCAGTTTCTATCTCTGTATCTCTTTGTCTCATTCACAGTTTTTCATCGATTCTTTTTCTGGAGTCTGGGGTCTTGTAGTCTTGGTGGGTTAACCGTCCTCTCCTTTTTCTTCCTCAACCTGTCAGCTCTCTATTCTTGAGGTTATTATGATCAAGGCAAGTAAATAGATTGGGACATTCATAATAATCGGTTTAGTTGTATCTCATTGACATTTTCATCACTCATTTCTATCTTCCGGAATCTTCACCTAGCTAATGTCATTTGGGTTGGTCATAAAGGCATTCTAGTGTTTTTTGTTTTGCTATGTATGTTTGATTCTTATTGTCATTTTCTTTTAATGTTATGTTTATCTCTTCTTATCTTCTTTTACTACTATTTATTGCTATCTTCTTCCTGCTCCCATCCAATCATTTCCCTTCATGTACAAGTTTCATTGGAGAGCGGAGATGGGACAGGGAAGTGATTAATATCCGGTCCTCATGTATTAGTCTGTTGTTATTTAATGTGTCGATTTTCTTACGGTTGCATTTCTCTACTTCTCCAAATGTAAGGTCTATTAGTCCTGTCTCCATTTCTTATTTCTTGTCGCTCCTCGCTATCCCTTCCTTTCTCCAAGCCATTTCGCCCACACGAGCCATCGGATGGGAGAGGATGACTCTCGCCTCAGCCCCCACCAAAATTCCCAACAGGTCCAACTTGGACAAGGACCAAGGGAGGTGGTTTGAAAGAAGCCCACAGGCCCACCAGTGCGGGGCAACTGGGAACTTGGTAGCCCTTGGGTCAGAGGCATTAAGATCCTCCGGGTTTCCAGAACCCTTCTGCAGCTCTTCTCAGACGTCGCGTTGTTTCTCTTGTCCCTCAGGTTTCTCAGTAGGGAGTTTGCCAGGTTTTGCGAATGCACCTGACGTGGCAGAAACCTGGCGCTTCATACTAGCCCCCCCTCCACCCCCCCATCTCCCCGCTGCCCCATACCCCCCCGATGAGAGATCAGGACCTGCCGCCCTGCAACGGCACGGGTCTCAAAAGCTGCCTGTGCCCCATGCTGCCCACCGCCCTGCGGCGCACGCCGCGCCTGCTCTTGGACTTGGACCCGGAGAAGGCGCAACAGACGCGACAGACGCGACTTTCGTGTCGTTTCGGGCGCTCCTTGCGGTGCCGGGCCTGGGGCGATGCCCAGGGCAGGGTCCATGCAGTTGGGAACTCTTGGGCCGGGTTTTCCTTTTGGCGTTCCTTCAAAGAACACGAGAAAAAAAGGGGACCCTCCAAAAACACACACACACACACACACACACCCAGCTCTGCCTATTTGATGGAAAACCGAACTGGGGCAAAACGAGCTCAAGCCACGATGAAGCTGCTTTACTTGGGTTTACTTGGGCATTCAGCTCTCTTTTCAGGTTTTGGAATTAGGGATTGACTAGACATTTGGTCTAGTCAGCAAATCGCCCAAAATTGCAGCGGCTGATTTGGAGGAATCCTTTGTACAGCAGGTAGTTCTTGGACACGAAACATGGCGGGATTCCTACACAGACTTCTCAGAGCCCCTTCCAGGGTGTTCTCTTTAGATGACTGCCTAGGAAGACATGTACGCAAGGGCTTGTACAAGTAGGAATTCTTTGGGTATGCCAAGTTTGCGAACCCACAACTCCTCCGGTTTCTGGTCGAACTTTTTGGGCAGCTCATGACAATAGGCAGAACTCGCGACTTCGAAAAACCAACCTACCGGAAGTGGTTCCTTAATAAAATATATATGAGATTCGATTTTATTATTTTTCGTGGTATATTTTGAAAAGTTGTTCCAATCATGCATACATCTTACATGTTTTTCGCGGTACATTTTTATCCAATCAAGCAACCCCCTGGGGCGAGGAACGCCGCCGTTAGGAGCAGATGGACACGGAGGAGCTGCAGAGGTCGCGGGCGACGCTGGTCTTCGCTGCCCAGCGGTTTGCGAACCTGGAAGGCGCGGAGACGTGGCGGGACTTGTGGGGAGAGATAGGGGCGCCCAAAAATGGGCTAGGGGGTGGGGGGGTGGGGGGTGGGGGGAGGGGCGGGGGTAGGGGGGAGGGCCAGTTCATAAAGTGTCTTTTTGATGGGTGAGTTTGGTTAGAAATAGATGGCATGGTTTAGGTTGGTTTATTTCATTGACCAGCGCCACTTTTTCCAAAAAGTCACCTATGGGGCAGTTGACTTAAACCCACAACAGGATGTTTGCTCCTTTGCCCAGTCCCGAAATGGATTCGCCCCTCTTGGCTTGATTTCCCTTGGCTGTGTGAGACATGGCCGCAGAAAGGGAACCCAACAGAAACGGAGGCACCTAGGCACGCCCCTGTCCGAGGGAAGCCTTTGCAGTCGATGGTTCAGCGTTCCCTTGCTTGGGGAAGAGTCCAAGAAATGGAGAGGGGTGGATGTGAATCCCCCTTTTGGGATGTTTTGGTGCGGAATGTGGGGATTGAAACACAGTTGCGCGCCTCAAAACGTGTTGGAGATTGTTTAACGCACACGCCCTTTGGGGACGTATTCAAAGCGCAAGCAACATGAAGCCAACCTGCATGTGCCGTGTGTCACTCATTTTGATGCGCTCTCGCTTGACGTGCTTGTCAGATTTCTGTGGGGCGGGCAATCTCTATCTCTTGGCGTGCTTGTTTCTCATTTCGCTCTTGAAAGGCACACATGCGGCCCAGACCCCACGCACGACCATTCATTTGCAATTATTCTGATACTTATTCAAAAGAAACGGAAAGCATAGCTCTTGGTGTTGACGTGCCTCACGGATCTGCGATGTTCCCGGAATACCTGGGCCAGCTCCGTCAGATCCATCAGACGAGTCGAGGCTTTTCCTTCGAGTACGGCCAGTACTGGAGATATCGGAAGATCAAAAGCAGCCAGATGTGGCGCAGGCCGACTCCGGGCCGAGCCGAAGGTTCTTTGCCAAATTTGGCACAGGCCCAAAAACTAGACGACGAGTGGCCCGGAAGCATAGAGGCAAGTTGATGCAGGTGAGGTAACTCTCGCAAAGTTAGCATGAGGAGTTGGCAGGCGAAGCAATTCTCAAAAAGTTGGCATGAGAGCTGGCAGGTTAAGTAACTCTCGAATAGTTGGCTGGCAAAGTTGGCGGGTGAAGTAATTCTCGCAAAGTTGACATGAGAAGTTGGCAGGCGAAGTAACTCAAGAGAAAAGTTGGCATGAGAAGTTGGCAGGTGAAATGACTCTCAAAGAGTTGGCATGAGAAGTTGGCAGGTGAAGTAACTCTCGAAAAGTTGGCGTGAGAAGCTGGCAGGTGAAGTAATTCTCGAAAAGTTGGCACGAGAAGATGGCGCGTGAAGTAACTCTCGAAAAGTTGGCGTGAGAAGCCGGCAGGTGAAGTAACTTTCGAAAAGTTAGCATGAGAAGTTGGCAGGCGAAGTAATTCTCGAAAAGTTGGCGCGAGAAGTTGGCAGGCGAAGTAACTCTCGAAAAGTTGGCAGGCGATGTTGGCAGGTGAAGTACCTCTCGAAAAGTTGGCATGAGAAGCTGGCAGGTGAAGTAATTTTTCGAAAAGTTGCCACGAGAGGTTGGCAGATAAAGTATTTCTCGAAAAGTTGGCATGAGAAGTTGGCAGGTGAAGTAATTCTCGAAAAGTTGGCAGGTGAAGTTGCCACGAGAGGTTGGCAGGTAAAGTATTTCTCGAAAAGTTGGCATGAGAAGTTGGCAGGTAAAGTAATTCTCGAAAAGTTGGCATGAGAAGCTCGCAGGTGTAGTAACTCTCGAAAAGTTGGCATGATAAGCTCGCAGGTGAAGTAACTCCTCGAAAAGTTGGCACGAGAAGTTGGCAGGTGAAGTAACTCTCGAAAAGGTGGCATGAGAAGCTGGCAGGTGAAGTAATTCTCGAAGTTTCGGCATGAGAAACTGGCAGGTGAAGTAATTAACCCTCAAAAAGCTGGAGCGGCGGAGGCGCTCCGCGTGCTACATTTGCAATTTACAGTTGCGATTTTCCAGCCATTTGTATCTAAAAGTTGCGATTTTCCAGCCGGAGCTGCGGGAGCACGCTCCGCGTACTACGTCTGAGCTTGAGCACGCTCCGCGTACTACGTCTGTACTTAAAAAGTGCGATTTTCCAGCCGGAGCTGCAGCAGCCTCCGCGTACTACGTCTGTACTTAAAAGTTGCGATTTTCCAGCCGGAGCTGCAGGAGCACGCTCCGCGTACTACGTTTGTACTTAAAAGCTGCGATTTTCAAGCCGGAGCTGCCGCGGACCAGGGGGGAATCGAACCCGGGACCGCGGGATTGCGAAAGCAGGCGCGCACACCACGAGACACCTTCCAAAAGCCGTTTCGCGAGCAAGAAAAAAAAAAAAAAATACACACTCGCACGCGCCACAGCGAGAACGCTTCGACACACGCAACGTTCATCGGGCTCAAGAAATTTCGCAACAGCGCCCACCAGCGTGAGCGCCTTACGACGCGCACGTTCTC